TCCAGTATTGCCCAACCTCTATATCCTTCCTTTTATTAAGCAGCAGTCAGAGGAATCATGATACAAAGTCACACCAAGTCATTCATTCTCTCCACCTAAAAAACTCCAATGGCTTCCGGGTTCACTAAAAGAAAGATCTAAACTCTTTTACTAAAGGTCTTGCATGATCTGGCCTTTGTTTACCATCACAAGCTAGAACTGTGAGAATCTTCCTCTTGCTTTCTTACTACCTTCATGGAACTCCCTTTCCCGGACTCCCTTCATTGCCTATATCACACTAAATTCTTATCTACCTTAGGATCCTTAAACTTGCCTTTTTGTTCTATCTGAGAACAACTATTGCTTACCTTTTCTATATCTGTCACCCTTAGGTCTCAGCTTAAGAGACTTTCTTGACCACTGTGCTGAAATAGACCCCTTATCCAATTTATTCTCTATCTTAGCATGCTATTGGATTGTCCCATGGGGAGATCTTTAATTATTTAGTTGTTTCTCTGTAGTTTTATCTCTCTACTACACTGCTTAGCCATATAGTTCACGAGGGCCTGTGTCTGATTCAGAATTACATCTTTACAAGCTCACATTGTTCCTGATACATAGTGGTCTCAATAGGTATTGGTTAAACAAATGAATGCATAAGTGGGTGTGACAAATCAAAAGAGAATGAAGCTTTATTTTTCTGTCACCCTGTGGATTTTAAGTGTTCTTTCGTCTATATACTTTCAAAAATATATTCTCTGTAGACTCAATAAAGCTAGCACAAGGTTAGTGCATTAATTTAATTTTCAGGTTAGGATATGGATCATGTGAAACATTGCAAGAATATTTTTATTTCTATAGTAAAGATGTTCCAAATATACCAAAGTATATATACTTCTCCATATTTGCTTTCCCATTTTAAAATGTTATTAAAGCTTTAGAATAAAAGTTCTCATTTCACTCCTTTGAGGGAAATGTAGTTTTGCTTATTTTAATAACCTAATTAGAAACAAGAAGGTATGTTAATGAAAATTCCACTCTTGGTAAACAGAGGATGTTTTGAAAAAGCCTTAGAAGTGGATGTCGCAATAGACCAGCTGCCTGGTGTATTAGTGGCCTTGTCTATGAGTAGTTTTAGGGTTCTTGAGAGCAATTCATTGGAACTTTTCTCAGCCTCCCCTCTAAGATAGGGGGGATGCCCACCCTGCTTATCTCTGCTAATCTTATTAAGCATTATATGCAAAAAGGTTTTGGGGCACCCAGGAAGCTCAGCTGGTTAAGCGTGGGACCCTTGATTTTCACTGGGGTCATGATCTCACGTGAGTCTGAGCCCCACATCCGGCTCTGCGCTGACAGTGAGGAGCCTGCTTGGGATTCTCTCTCTCTCTCTCTCTCTCTCTCTCTCTCTCTCTCTCTCTCTCTCTCTCTTTCTCTCTCTTTTTCTCAAAATAAATAAATAAACTTAAAAAAAAATGATTCCAAACTATAGAGGACTCCACTAATGTGGAGTTCTACTATGTTGGTGAGCAACCTTGCAAAACTGACCTAATGGTCAGTTCCCATTTCAGGGAGTTTGTGCAAGAGGATCTAAGGCAACTGTCTCTAATTGAAGCATTTATTATTCCAGACCACGTGCCTCAAAAGATGGAAATGCACAAAGATAGCGTAATCCGGCAGTAAAATGGAAGTGGGTAAGGGCTGACTTCCTAAACGATCTCCTGGTGGTTAGCTATGCGTTTTTAAGACCACATGTAACAGTGTGGAAAGTGGCTAAGAGCACAGGGGACTGATTTTCTAGCTTCTTTGTGGAGAGCTTCACTTGTGAGCCACTTCTAAGCAGGTGCAAGCTACTTCAGGATGACGGCAGACTGATTTGTCAGAGGCCAAAAGAACTATGCCCCTTCAGAAGTCCCAATCTGGCTTCTCTCACCATGCCTCCTTCCTTCTCTTCTCACCTTTTCCCCTTTTCTTCTCCAATGGGAGAACGTGGGAGACAAGGGAGAGGAGACCCTGGAGGGATGAAAAGAAGAGAACCATTTCAGTTCCTTTTACTTCCCGGTTGCAAGCTGTGCTGCTGAGTTAAAAATATGTAATTTAGTTTCCAAATCTATTCCAACCCCTGCCGGCCTACTGAGCAATCACAAACCATCCAATTTCAATTCAAATCTTTGCTTTTAGCTTTATTTTAAATGGAACACAGCTAAGTTGTATAAACAGATATAAAGTAAACGCTCTACAAAGAGCAGAAGTGGGATTAAAGGAACCAGGAAGTAAATCTGTATTTATAGCATACCGGTCAAAATCCGAATTGTTTTCATTTTATTTTTAAAATGCCAAACTTGCCACAAAGTACTGAAATGTCAAAGAAGGGACCAAACTTGCAGCACATCCAAGAGTCTGTGCTAAGTGTGAGTTTTCTTATTATTTTCAGCGATGCTTGTTTATAACATCCTGTAAACAGATTACACAGTTTTCTGCAGGTGAGAATTACTATCCCTCTGTCATGTTTGGAATGCTGTGAATTTACAGAGAATGACCCATTTCTAAAAAGATGAATCACATTTACCACAAATATTTATGAGCATAGCCCAAAAATTGTGTGACACCGTACATTTTTAATGATTAATCAACTGCTAACACTTGAAGTAACATGAATTCCACCTCTTCCCATAAAGCTATAAAAGTATCTCCAGGTGGGTAATGTACATCACCTAGCAGTGACAAGTAAGATGACTAATAATGCCCTTGAGACGTTTCAGCCATATTGCAGCTGGCCAAAATCCAGTAATGGCTCATGTTGACTGATTTCATTCATTTTATTGTCTATATAATATCATGGGAGAGGATAGCTGGTTCAAAAGGATTCATCCGCAACGGACACCTTCTTCTTTTTGAGTTATACTTGCATTATAACCAACGGGGGAGATACTATTGTAACTTTTGCCATTTAATAATAAAACCATACCATTTCAGTTGTAACTTTTCACTTTAATTTATGTGCAGGTACATCAATTCTCCAATAAATATTTAAACTCCTGTGATTTCGTATTTCTGTTATTTTTCCCCCTTACTTCAAATGTCATGTTTAAAACTTTTACGGGCAGATAAATCCTCTTTTATTGAGACAATATAGTCTTTAATGGTATCACATTGTCTGAAATATTCTCGGCAAATTTTTTTCTTGGGGGGTGGGATATATAGTGATAACTTCCCCGTCACTTGTGAAAGATCATGCGCTGGCAAATGATTCACTTCTGTAAGGAAGCCTCTTTCCAGATTTGCACGGAGGCAAATGCGGTGCGGAGCATCCTACTGCTGAGGCAATGTGAGGAGAACCTTTCATCCTTCTCATCCATATTTGTCACTGTCAACACGCCAAAAAATCAATTAATACCCTCAATGGCCCCCTAGCACCTTCTCAATAAAATCCAGAAAAAAAGTTGGGGATCAGAAAGCCTGATTTCAGACAACCATTAATATGCTATGTGTCCTTGTAAAATCACTTTCCATTTCTAGTCTTCAGTGTCCCCATTTGTCAAATGAGGAGAACCAGACTAGTCAGACTCCAAAGAATCATCCAGCTCCACTCTATCCAATTCTGTTTTACTTCTGATAATTCTTTCAAACCACAGACAGTGTCTAATTCTGTCTTCATTCCCAGGAATGTCCTACTCCCGTTCACTTTCTCTATTCTCTCATCATCCTATCTCTTATACACTCTCAGGAGGAAGCTTGAAGTCCCCTGTGCTGCTAACATCATGTGATGCTCACCACATAGCATCTGATATCATCTCCATCTTCATGGGTTTGTCTCTTATAAATATACAACCTGACCTGGGTTCACATCCTGCCCATGCCACTTACCAACTGTGAACTTGAACTGGTTACTTAGCCTCCCAAGCCTAAATTTCTTCATCTATAAAATGGGGATGGTAATAACTTACTCTCAGTAATGCCTATAAAATGCCTGGTGTATATGCCAATTCAAATAAATAAATAAATAAATACAATATTAGTGCTTATTATTGTTACTCCTACTCCTACTCCTACTCGAGGCTCTTTTAAGACACAGCCTAGGTCTTGATCAACTCATTTCCCAGTAGGCTCAGAGTAGTTGGAAAGAAGAGGGACTTGGTGGTCGGGTCCTGAACTGACACTTGGGGTGAAGTCACGTGTTCTCCCTGAACTGGACCCAGCGGGTGTCTGAGGTTAAGAATTGTATCTTCAGATTCTGTGAACACAGTGCCTAGCAAAATGCTTGCCACATAAATTCTCATTATATAAGCAAATGGAATATGAATATGAAAAGGAGCAACCGTAGGGTTAATGGATGCGCAGTAGGGTTAATTAGAGCTACTGTAAAATACTTAAGGAAGAAATAAAGCTGAAACACCTCTAACTCCAAAGTCTTGGGAGGGAAGTAAATGACCTCTCCCCAAATGAAGTAAAAATTGATCCCACTGTGTAAGAGAACAGGAAAGGACTGGGTTCTCTAGCAGAGCAGGCAGCTTCGTGCCCCAGATTCTTGTCCTAGGTAGAGCACGGTGGCGAGGTTTTGGCAGAGGAACAAATACCACGTGGGAGGACAAGGGACTTCGGATCAGTTGCCTCAAGTGCAACCAGCTCTGAGCGAAGCGGCCAGGTGCAGGGGAAGTCCGTTCTCAGGGCGCAGCGCAGCTGGGCAGCCGAGCCCCACGTTCCCGTTTTTGACTCTTTCTTTCCAACCTCCCCCACCCAGCAGTCAGGTCCCGGAAGGTAATTAGTGTGGGGGAGAGGCAAAGCTTCTGAGTCTGCAGGGAGATGGGAAAGTAAGGGTGGAGGCGGTCTTCTTGTCAGAGGTCTCATCAAGGTGGGGGGGCGGGGAGAGAGAGGAAGGGAGGGAGGGAGAGAGAGAGAGAGAGGGGAAGAGATTTTCCATTTTGCACTCGAGGCATACCTAATGATATTCCCACAGACAGACAGACAGGCAGACCGAGAGAGGGACAGACAGGACACACTTGAGCGTTTGAAATCTTTCATACCCCCAAATCCAGGACGCAGCCTGTTGTCATAACCATCGAGTAAGCTGTCCAGGATGCGGGTAAAATTTTCCGGGCATAATTTCTCCTCCTTTTGGTTTTGTCCTGGGGATTCGTTTAAACTGCAAACGCAAAAAAAAAAAAAAAAAAAAAAGAAAAAAAAAGAGAAAAAAGAAAACGGCGTAAGGGGTTGTTTTAAGAATCGATTACAGAACAGGTGGAAACAGGTTTATCTTCTAGGGAAAGAGACTTTTGCCCCAAGCTACAAGAGGCAGGTCTGAAGGATGGGGGGACAGAGAAATGGTCGGGAAAGGCGCACCCTGAGCACACGCACCCCCAAACCCACACTCTTCTTGCACCCGGTGCCCCTTCTGCTCTCCGCGTCTACGCGGTCACAGAAAAGCCTAGCTTCGGTCCCTGACCTTACAGCGGAAACAGGAGGGTCTGGTTTGCCCTGGGAGGGGCGGCGGCCGGAGGGGGCTAGGAGCTGGCCACTTCTCCACCCTTGCCCCTCAGGACCCCAAAGAACTCACCAAGCCGCCAGGCAAAGGAAGTGCAGGAGGGCGAAACTGACCCGGGAGGACGTGGCGATCGCGGGTACCTTCTTGGCAGAAACCATCTTTGCAACATGCCATACTTTAAGCCTGTTCACGTTTCCAGGCTCTCAAGATGCCCTGAGCAGGGTGCGAGGCGAGGGCAGAGGCTCTCCGCGGCGTGCGCACACTCGCGCTCACACTCGCCCGCGCTCACACTCGCCCGCGCTCAGCCAGCCCGAGCCGCGGTGGGCGCGTGTGTGCACGCGGGCCAGGGGGAGGCGGAACCTGCCTTTCCTCGCCCCCTCCTTTTCTCGCTGAGCTCTCAATGTGTATGGAGAGCTATGTATACCGCTCAACACCCTTTCGTGCCCGCACCGTGGAGCCTCCGAGGTTAACCTCAGCGCGCTGGCACGGAAAGGCTGAGCGAGTTCTTCCCAACCTTGAACTCTGGATTTCCGCCCCTCCTGGCGTCCGCCGCCCCCAACCCTAAGCGGGTCCCCGCCCACAGCAGTGCCTAGCCTCCACTTTTCCCTCTCCCCCCCCCCCCCCCCGCTTCCTGCTGGGATTTGGATTTCACCAACGAAGCTCCTCTCTCAGGTTGTCTGAGGTCCTGTTTTGTACCCATTTTCAAGGCTGAGGGGAAGGAGCGGGGGCATTAGGATGGCTGGGCGTGGGGACGGGAGACTGCGGTGAGCACAGGGGATCGAGGACGGACGGAAACAAACTTTGGGACTCTCCCCTTCAGGTGCTGGGGCGGAGTGGGGCGGCAAAGGAAAGATGATTCTTCCTGGTGAGAGAGAGGGGTTGCATTTCACCGGGCACGCTCGCGCCAAACTTAGCAAGTGGACTTGAGCCTCATTCTGTTCGCAACGCGTTTGCCAAGCTGTTGCTGTGAACATAACACATTCCTTTACTACACTCGCTCCCACCTGGCACACACACACGCTCAGCTCTGCTGCCCCATCCTTTGCTGGAGAGGAGAGGAGAGGTGAAGACGAAGGACGTCGGGCCAAAATCACTCTCACTTTTGGTGACACTTCCTGCTCTTTTCTTTCCTGATAGAGCTCCCTGACTTCCTGCGGTTGACCGCTTTAGGGGGCAGGAAAGGATGGCTGTGGAGAGGCAGAGGAGAGAGACAGAAGAAAGGCAAATGTGGTGGGGGGTGGGGGGTGAGGGGCTCAGTAGACCTGTTTAAAACGTTAATTATTGGTTCCAAGGGGAAAGGTGTCTTTCACATTAATAGTGATGCAAGTGGAAATTTGCATATGATGGACCAATGACCTAAGTGATTTCCAAAAAGTTAGTTCCCTGGAAACTGTCACCACCAATATTTATATTCTGTTTAGAACTTTGATGGTTTGTTCAAATTTGGATGACTACTGGGCTGATTTGACATGAAAACAGTAGGTTTTGTTTCAGTACCGTCATTAAAATTTTTCTTTGCAAAGGGGAAACCTTTCTGACCACCCAAAGTGCTTAATCGCAGAGGTATGTATTCCGTGATATTCTATATTGTTTCCTTCATGGAATTTATTATACTTCATCCTAATTCTGTCTGTGTCATTCTTCTCTAAAGACCCCTTGAGGGTCTGGGCTGGTAATTATGATTTATCTGTGGATATTTTTTCTCTTATTACAGTGCATACCACATAGTACAAGGACAATAAATATTTATTGAATGAACAATTAAACAAATTAATGAATTACCTACTCCCAGATCCATCCTAATTAATTTGGATGAAATTCAAACTTACTCTCATCGAAAAATGAAAATATTAGTGTCCTCCCCATATATGCCATGAAAGCATTTGTTTCCACAGACTCTACACATAAAAACTTATAATACATCATATTATTATATCACGTTATATTATTTTTTCAATCTGAATGCTTTCTTATACTTTCAGAACAGAATTTTATTTTTTTCTTACAATATCCATTTGAAATATAGAGATAGATAGATATTGGTATATACATATATATCAAAAAACAAATATAATGGCCTAAGGGAGAAGAGGTTTCATATTGTTAAAGAGAAATTATCTTTAAAATTTCAATTTTAAATATGTGAAACTAATACCTTCCAAGGTATGAAAAGAAGATTTCCCCCTTCAGTGTAGCTACTTCCAATTATATTTTTGTTAACAGATGTATTTAAGATCAACTGAAGATAATAGCATAGATATATCACTTTATTTTATTTCACAGCCTTTCATTTATGCTGTCCTTTATATTACTTAAAGAAGTTATATGTTGGGTGTTACTGTCTGAAATCTTTAAAAAAAATTTTTTTTTGTCACTAGGAATTTTAAATTAACCATAACATTAAAAAATTACAACTTACCAGAAGTTACACATATCATTAGATATGCTATTATTTTTATATAAATTTCTATCCATTCTGATTCAGATTGTGAGTGATTCCTGATTGCCTGTATATAACTGTACAGAAATATAAAGGTGTTAAAATTATACATATTAATTCCTTATTTAAAGTTAACAAAAGTCTTTCATTGCTATGCTTGATAGAGTTTGAATTAGGTTCAATTACATAACCCCCAAACATCATTATGTTAAGCCAGCCACATATTATAAATTTATCATAAAGCCTTATCTCTGGTATGGTAGAATACAAGTGAAATAGATTGCCCTAATGCTGAAGTCTTACCTCAGAGTGCGCATACCTATGAAATGCCCTAAAAATTAATACAAAATTTTGTATTCACATAAGTATGTGCATTTTTCTTTGAGGCTCTTTATGACTTTCATCAGAGTTTCAAAGGCTATGAACAATGATAGTACAGACTAATGTTTTAAAATAAAAGATTAAATATATAATAGAACAATCAACCAAATAGGTGGAAAACATTTGTAACCAGTGTGTACCAAACATCTCTATCCCATTTGATACCCTTATTCATGTCCAGTTTCCATAGACTGTTATGTAGATCTTGGGTCTCCATTGAAGGTACTCAGCTCCATTTGCTGTCAATTTGTCAAACATCCAATTAGCTTGGCACACAAAACTTTGGAGTGGTAATAAAATGAATTTGAAAGAATTCAACCTGTTTTTGTTTCCATTAATTGCCTCCCTTAATTTTATTTGTGTATATGCGTGTATGTTTTCAAAGTTTCTGAAAAAAAATACTATTATCAAGTAACAGATTTTTTTTCTATATCTAATAGTAATGATTAGGAAGGGAAATTCATGTGTTACCAATAATGCCCCAAGTTAAACTATTGTTAAATGTTCTGCCAAGTGTCTGTCTTATGATATATACATTAGGTTGTCGCCTTCTTCTTCTCCTTCTCCTCCTTCTCCTTCTCCTTCTTCTTCAACAACAGAAGTTAATTTTCTCACACTGAAGGCTAGAAGTCCAGGACCAAGGTGTCATCAAATTTGACTTCTTCTGAAGCCTCTCTTCTTGACTTGCAGATGGCCTCCTTCTCACTGTGTCTTCTCGTGGTCTTTTCTCTGTATTCATGCACTCTGTGTTCAAATTTCTTTATAAAGACACCAGTGCTGTCGGATCAGGGTTCACCCTAAAACCTCATTTTAATTTAAAGGCCTTTAAAAATTCCCTATTTCCAGATAAGGTCACATTCTGAGGCTCCAGAGGTTATGACTTTAACGTGATTTGGGTGAGTGGGGGGACACAATTTAGTGCATAACCGTGGTGATCTTCCTTCAACTATATTTAAAACAAAATGAAAATAATATACATATAGTGCGTTTTAAAATTCACAAAGCCATAAAGGCAATTTGGACATTCTTATACGAATAGTAATAATTATGATGATAATAATCTTTATTATAATAATAGCAATTATCCTTTATTAAGTAGCTAATTTCATTCAAATCTTCAGAACAAATATTTATGGTTAGGTATTATTATTCTCATGTTATGAATAAACTGAAGCTTAAACATGCTGAGTAATTTGTTCATGGTGGGCCAAATCAATGGAAAGATCAAGATTTTATTCTTTGTCCCTGGAGGACTAGCTGGATAAAATGTAATTTTGTTGTTGTTGTTGTTTAATTTGACATAGACATATATTCTGAAATGATTACTACAATAATGTTAGTTAACCCATCCATCATCTCACAGTTATTTTTTATATGTGTGGTGAGACCATTTAAGATCTAGTCTCTTAGCAAATTTCAAGTACACAATACAGAATTGTTAACTATGTATAACAATGTTAACTAAGTATGTCACTACGCTTTACTAGATCCCTAGGACTTATTCATCTTATAAACAGTTGAAAGTTCATACCCTTTGGTCAATATCACCCCATTTCCCCTACCTGCAATCCCAACCACCTGTTTTCTCTGAGTTCATGCAGCATTTGTCTTTCTCAATCTGTGTTGTTTTATTTCCAGAGCGATACCGGACTAATACAACGAAATTGGAAAGCCATTTGGCAATAGTTGAAGTTGAACATGAATATGCCCTATGATCAAGCCATCTCCTGCCTGTTTTATAGTCCATAGAAGTTCTCAAACATTGCAAGGAGGCAACTGAAAAATAGTACATTGTTTGTAATTGTGGGGAAATAGCAACAAAATAAAAGTCCTTTGATGGGAAAATGGACACACTGTATTATGGTATAAACAGAGTACTATCAGGTAATTAAAATTAAGAAAATCAGGTATAGGAGAAAAATAAGATAAGCAAAATAAGCAAGTGACAGAATAATACCTTCAGTAAAATATCATTCATACAAAATTTAAAACATGAAAAATAACATTGTACATTGTTTATGGGTATGTATGTAGTGATAGAGAACCCACATGAAAAAAGAAACATCACATTAAAGGCAATGGATATCTATGGAGAGGGAGAAAGGGGACTAGAATAGAGAGAGGAAATTGACTACTTCAATTATTTAAGTATTGGAGCAAATATGAAAAAAATCTTAAATATTGACAGATCTGGTGGTAGGGACTTGAGTGTTCATTATATTACTTTTTTCATTGTCCTGATCATCTATTGCTGTATAACAAACCATTGCAAACCTTGCTGGCTTAAAACAGCAATTTATAATGATCTCTCAGTATTCCTGGTTTGAACACTCTCAT